GCCGCCGCGGGCGTGCGGAGCAAGACTGCAGCGGGTTAAGACCACGGGCACCGGCGGGGCGGCGGGCAAGGGGTCGGGCCCGGCTCCCCCGTCAGCGCCACCCCCCTCTGGGTCTGGCACAAGCAAAATAGACAAGTACGCCCGCATTCTTTTCCCGGTCACATTCGGGGCATTCAACATGGTCTACTGGGTGGTTTATTTGTCGAAGGACACGATGGAGAAGTCAGAAAGTCTCATGTGATTTTTGCTATAGTCACTTCCCCAAAGATGACATCATTGCAGAACGTCTTTTTAAATGTTTTTAAACAGTTATTCTTTACTAAAATAAAAACTCAATGTAACTTTTCATTTCCGAAAATGCAAGCCAGTTACTGGGAGAGTGCATTAATTCCTCAGTGAAGAGAACGTCAACCATGCTTTCCTGAAAGAGTAATTGTTAAGGAATCCGGCCTCCACGTGTGCAGGCGCACAAGCTCCCCGGCAGGTGGGCAAGACCAGCTGGGCCACTGAAGTCTATGGTGCACATTTTTTGCATTGAAATTTGAAAACAGACGATGACATTTTTCCTCATCCCCTGTGAGTATCAGCCAGCCACCCCGAGTTTCCTAGTGGCACTGCCTTTGACCACAGCTGTTTATCAGATCTGGTATGCAGTGACCTGTGGTCCCTACCTGCCAGAAAAAGACTTTCCCTGTGAAAGGACACATCAGTAAGAGGGACACGGAACAACACAAACGCCGATCCATAGAGTGAGACCTTAGGTACATCGAAAATAAACATTTTAGACTAGAGGAAATGTCTTCCCTTTCATATATCCACCAAACGGTATTTAACAGTTGACTTGAAATGTTGTGCTCTGAGCCAGTTTAATTCATGGTACGGATTCTTTTTCATCCGGTTACGTATTTGTTCACCACGCGGAGCCTACTGTGTGCCAGGCATTACGCTAGCTGCGGTCCTAGGGAAGCTTTCACTGTGACTAGTAGGGCAGTCCATGCATGCCGAGAACCAGGAGCTAGCAGAGGACACTGCCTTCCTCCGTGGAGGAGATCTATTTAGAACCTGACAACGTATTGAAAATAAGATACGGGTTTCTCCTTCATTGCTAGAGGGTAACAGGTGTACCTGTTCACATACCCACTTTGGATGAGCAGTAGTGCAGCTGCAGCGACTGGCTTTCAGAATGTAACAGAAATGTGGTGCCGATTCTTCTGTATGTCAGAGACGCCGTGTGCCAACAGTGAGACTCTGGGCACTGTGAACCTTCCTAGATGACCTGCCTCGAATTGGATCAGAATCGCAGAATCATCAGAACTAGGGACTCAATGCAGGCTTTTTAGATGTTTTTCCCAACACTGATGTGTTGTAGATGAGCTAGTGAAATGCTAACCTTGGTAGGTTTTGTACCCGCAGTTCTGTGTTTCTGGGCAGTTGTTGCTTGTTTCCTGGGAGTTTTGGTAAGATTTCGTAACTAAAGTGAGCTTTGTAAATGAAAAGAACAGCAAAGAGAAGGATGAAGGAAGGCGCTGGGGCTAAGGGCGCGATGGCACAGATTGATAGCAGCTTCTCAGGGCTCCCTGTGCTGACTTCTCTTTTCCACTAGGTAGGCTTCACAGCTTAATCGAGTTTCTTGCAGCTGTCTCATGTAGCTCAATCCATGTCTTTTTTGTTGTTGTTGTGTTACTTCCAGATTTTTCTTCTGTATTTCTCTCCGTCTGCTCTGGGATGTGTGAATGTGTTCTGGGTGTTTAGGGGGAACATTTTGATAGAAACAGCCACCTCATAGACAGGATCTCCTATTTTTTTTAGAAAAGAAATACTATGACTTACCTGGCACCAACTTTTCAGTTACTGCATTGCCTTGAAATGGTTATATATGCGATCTGTAAAATGTGCCAATGCCAAAATTAATCATGAGTCAGCTCTGAGAACTCCTTGGCTATCTTTCTAAACATTTCATAGAATCAACACGTTTTAAGCCTGCGAGATTCTGAAGAGATCATCCAGCCCAAAGCCTCATTTACAAATTGATTTCAGTAAAATGAGGCCCAGTAAAATCTGTACTTACAGATATATCTAATAAAGAATACTTGGACAAAAACGTTTATTATAAATTATGTTATGAATACCCGCAGATCTCTGGCCTGGAGGACAATGCTTGGAGCTGTGACGGAAGCCATGATCATTCATCGTTCTGATGGAACGACCTGGTTTCTCTGTGAGGGACACTTATTCTTTGCTTTCCTGTTGGCCTAATTTAAAGAAATATTGGATTGGCTTCCTTTAAAAAAAAAAAACAAAACTAAATGTTAAACGTGTCAAAAAATAAAAATAAATTATTTTAGATTCATAGGCCAAAGATCCTTTGCATATGAAGACTTGAAAATAAATCCTATGGCAAAACAGCAAGGACAAAAAACTTACCCAAGGATTCTTAATTGTTATTTGTAGAAATATTGACCAGAAAGTTGAATGATGAGTGTAAAAGGAATTATTTCATTTGCATACAATGTTAATAATAATAATATGAAGTTTCTTTTTCCTAACAGAATTCCATCAAACCCATCTAGTGAGTCTTTATTTTGGTCATTATTTCTATCTTCCCAATAACTTAGAGTAATATGTTTGTGAAGAGCAGTGACTTTTCACCGTTAGAAAAATCCCTCAAGACTAATTAAGGGAGCCCAAGGTCCTGGTAATTTGTGAAGAAAAATTCTAGCTAAAAAAGACAGATTTGTAGGTCTCTATCTTTAAAAAAAAAAAAAAGAATTATTTTATTTAACATTATTTATTTTTTATTTAACTTTGACCGGATAGGACCAGAGTGAGACAGAGAGAGAGATGGAAAGTGAGAAAGCAAGCCGCCAGGTCCAGGACTTGAACCACAGTCAGCCATATGGGAATCCAGTGCCCTTAACCGCCACGCCACCTGTCAGCCCCAGGTTTCTATGTTTTATCTATTTTTTTTTGGGGGGGGAGAGGTTTTTGCTATAGGGTGCGTGCACTCGCCAGAAAGACAAAGAGACAGGAAAAGA